CTTCGTATTCGAGTTCGGCCTTGTTAAGGAATTCGTACTTAATAACCCTTTTCATTGTTATAATTAAGTGCAAAGTTAAGTTTAAGAAATAAAAATTTAATTAAAAATTGTACCTCTTTAAGTTATCTAGAATAAAAATATTAAAGTGATGAATGTAAGTGAAGTGTTATATGAAGGTCTAAATATAATCAAGATAAGTTGAAAAACTAGATGAAGTTTTGTTTTAGAATTTGGAAGATATGAAAAGGATGAGTAAATAAAAAGTTAAGAACGAAAGAGAAAGCAATTAAATCAAAAGGAAATATATAATATATATATATAAAAAAAAAATATATATATATATATATATATATATATATAAATTATAACTATGTAAATATAAAGGCACGCAGTTAATACAGGCACTAGCCCACCGGTCGACTGTTTACAGCAGAGTTCCCCAAACTTTTTTGTGTCGTAAACCCCTTGCCATGTTTTTCCGTGTTGGCTAGACCCCTACTTACCTGATATTGATTTCCTGTAAATTTCTAACTGTAATGAAGTTTAGTGTTAAAAACTTAAAGTAAAAACACATGTTAATTTATACATTTATTAATTGAATTTAAATTAAAACTACTCAAAATAAAATTTTGTGTCCGTTATGTAAAATATACGTAGCATTAAATAAACATAAAATAAACTATAAATAATATAACATAAGCAATAAGTCAATATTTTTAGTGAGAAGGATGGACCTGATGCTTTAATAATAAATTATCAACATTTGGCGTCAATTTTGTAAGGGTTAATCTTAAATTTCCTCGGCTAATGATGTCCAGTCTGTTTCTTTTTTTCGTTAGGAGATTGGTAACAGCGCTGAACCCCCTTTCCACTAGGTATGACGATGGAAAGGAAATTAAAAATTTCCTCGCTATATTCCATAATACGGGATAAGTAACGGGTATGTGTTTTGCAGGCAGGATTGCTGATATCCGTTTTTAAGCTGAACCTTAAGTTCTTCGTTTGTACTTAGTTCAGTGAGTTCCTCTTGTATTATGACATTCGTTTCTTCTATGTCGCCATATGGATTAATTATCCACGGTGGTATTACCATAGTCAAAATATGCTCAAACCTAGATTCAAAATCTGAATAGAAGGCATTTAAATGTTGAACGTAAGTTGAAACGTCGTCTTCCTGGCAGCTTGTCTGTGACAAATTGGGGAACTGAGAAAATTCGCCCCGTCCAATATTTTGCTTCATTAGTTTAACTCTGGCAAGAAACGCTGATAAGGTGGACTTTGTTTTAATCAAATTTAAACTGTCGCTTTGTAATTGCAAATTAAGCATATCAAATTTTGTAAACAAATCTGTTAAATAGGCGATGTCTGTTTTCCTCTTCATTAAATTTTCTTTCAAAATTTTATCTTTTTTGCACTTTTTTGCAAAAAGTGCAAAAAAATCTTGCCAAACATAAGCCTTTCGACAGCCAGCGTACTTCAGTGTGAAGGAGTAATTGATGCAAGTGTTCGTCATTCTCTTCACACAACTGCGCAAATAACCGCATATTCAACGCGTTGCTTCGGATTCGGTTTATTGCATCAATGAATAAATGAAGTGATTCATGCACCCTAATACTCAAATTTTTATAGCAACTAAATGTTGTCGATGGATGACGCAATGTATTGCTAACACCCCTGACACATTTTGTTTTAAAAAGCTTATAAATCCACGATAACGTCCAACCATGGCAGGTGCTCCATCTGTAGCTACTGATATTATATTTGATAAAGGAATTGCTTTTTCAATGAAGTAATCCTTCAAAACATGAAATATTGATTCACCTTTAGTGTCGGTTATCAAAGTTCTTGCGAAGAGCAGTTCTTCGTAGATTTCTTGATTCATAATAAAACGAACATATGCCAATAATAATGCTGCATTATCAGGTAAAGTTGACTCGTCCAGTTGTATAGAGAAATATGTCGTTTGCAAATAATTACATAAGAAGTATAATTAATAAGCTTTCAATATCAGAACTCATTTCATCAATACGTCTTTCAACAGTATTGTTGCTTAAGGGAATTCTTTTAATTATATCAGATGCAGGTTTGTGCAAAACAGTTTTTAAAACCTCTTCAACGGCTGGCAAAATTAACTTCTCTCCGATAGTATGCGGTTTTCCGGATTTTGCTATAAGTAACGAGATATTGTAAGATGCCCGCAAACCTACATCATTTCTTTGTGACGTCGAAGCGAACATTCTGTCCAGTGTAGGTCTCTTCTGAAGTTTATCTTTGAGTGTTTGAAAGTATTTCAAATCTTTCTCTGTTTTATCAGGGTGGCATCTTCTCAGATGATCTTGCAGTTTAGATGGTTTCATAGCATCATTGCCCAAAACTTTGTTGCATAAAAGGCACATAGGCAATCGTTTCCGTAATGATGGAATGAAGCCAAATTTCAAATAATCGACACTGTACTGTCTACGTTTCTTTTTAGATTCGGACATGGCATCAGTCATCTGTGGGAAAAATTAAATTATTTAAATAAGACAGAAAATCCAGCAGCTGTATATTAAAAATATTTTTTGATTTTTCCAAAAACATTCCTTAATTCGAACATCTTCTTGCAACAATTAGCTCGAATTACGGAGATTGCGCTGTAATTATAATACCGATTGCTTAAACTTTCAAAAAGAAACTATTGAGGAGTACTCGTGTAATTTTGCATGATTGAATATTAAACTACTAATAACTAAAGTCATGATTGGCGTAATTTATCTACCTTTGCTAACTACGAGTACAAAACTAAAATTTTATAAAAAATAATGTACTTACTTTTCTCCAGCACTCTCAAACAAAATAACACTGACTCACTATAATTTGTGTGATATACTATCTGTTTATATTTTTTAAAATATTTTCTTAGCACTTTCCTTTTCAAGATTCAGGAAACAAATAAACGTATTTGTCCCACATTCGTATTTATAGAGTGACGAATTGAACAAATCAGTGCAAGGTAGCGAAGCTCTGAGACTGCGACTCTCAGGTTTTTACAAGTTCAAAATGTATTGCGACCACAAAGCGAATACTAATATCCTACAACTTACACAATTTTATAAACATATATAATACATTTTTTACTTCATAGGTCTCGTAAGTATTCCATTTATTGTATATAAATAAATATAAATAATAATAAATAAATAATAAACTTTATTTGACATAAAATATTACAATAAATATTTCAGTGAATCCATAGGCTCCTAAACTAGTGTAAAACTGTGTTTCAGGAGCCAGTGGCTTCTCCCATAACATTGCATTATTAATTTATGCCATAAGATAAGGTACATTATAAGTTATTCAGCAGAACTACTTAAATCAAGAAAACAAAAATTAGTAAAGAACGGGCTACTCACTAGCGCATATCTGTTATGTATGTAGTTGTATTAATGTGTGCGTGCGTGTGTTGTGTGTGTGTGTGTGTGTGTGTGTGTGTGTGTGTGTGTGTGTGTGTGTGCGTGTGTGTGTGTGTGAGTGTGTCAGTAATAAAAACCAGTTAACATGTTTTCTACATCGTCATAATCAAGGTTTTTAAGCCATAAAAAAATATACTTCTTAATAACATTATTATTGCACTTTTTTACATTATACTCCTTATTCAGTCTGTTATATAGGTGTGGAACAATAAAATCAAACTGCTTTTGGGCGAATCTTGTTTTTACTTTGGGAATAGGACAACGGTCAAGCCTCGAAGATGATGTAAGGAACATTTTTTTTTGTGATAATGGCGTAGACTTTCGTAAATAAATAATTTTCTAATACTAAGAACATTGGCTTTGTCATAGACAGCTGTTGTAGGATGTCTGAAGGGTAAGGAGAATAACACTTTCAGTACTGCACGCTGTGCACGTTCTGCATTGATTAAGTAGGATTTTGCTGCAGTGCCCCAAAACTACTTACTACTTAACTACTTGGTACTTGGTACTTTTAAAAATAATGTATATGTTTTGATATTATAAGATAGTATGATGTAAGTAAATAGGTACTATCAGTGTATGTGTTGAGATCCACTATCGTGAACCCCCATTTTCATTTCATGGACCCCCAATTTATGACCCCTTGCAGGTTGTCATAGACCCCTAGGGGTCGATATAGACCACTTTGGGAATCACTGGTTTACAGTAAGCAAATAAGAAGTCTACAAAAATTTATAATTGTGACCAGATACAAAATCACATACATCCAAGTATGTCTGAATATTAACGGTACAAGATTACAAAGTAGGGTGAATTAAATTCGACATAATCTAAACAGCACAGAATTTAGATCATGTTGTGACATAACTGCTAGTAGTAAAATAATTTCAAATAAAATAGTGTAGCCTTAAGCTGCTGCGTTTCGTATGGTGAATATAGAGAACCAGAAACCTATTTTACTGGTAACGAGGCATTTTATTTTAGTTCTCGGGGTGACAACGCATCTGCTTTCTATAAGACTATGGGCTACAACATCCACTCACCTTCATGTATACTGTGTGATCGTTTGTTAGCCTTATTATATAAAATCCATTTAGCTGCTATACTTTGCGTTCCGAATTGCAGCCCAACAACAAATATTTGTACCTACAAATACTTTACAAATAACTTATACAAATTATTTTTTGGGTCTGGCTGTTTGTCAAAATAATTATTGAATATTAAACTCATCCACCATGCAGAACAAATTCCTAGAAATTGTGTCATAAATGTGAGCAAATAGTACACTATATAGTAACTAAAAGGATAAAATTAGTGTTAGCCCTTTTTTGTTTACTGTGAAGCGTGCTGTAAAGCACCTTAAAAGTAAGGTATTAAAAAGTTAAAATTAAACGCTATTAAATTCATAAAATTAGTTTTATTCACATTTCTAGTGCATGGGTGACGTTCATAAATTAATCAAGGAAATACTATCATAGAACCCAATTAAAATTTTTGTAAAATGTCACAGAACACATCAGAATTAATTAAGTAAGTATTAATTACAGTCTAAGCCTGTACGTCAAATTGAAAAATAATAACTAAATAAGAGATGACCGCTCCAAGTATCTGAAATAAAAAGAAACAGTAAAATTGAGATAGATAAGCACGATTATTTTAAATTTTTTGATAAAAAGCAGATTTCAATTTGGATCGAAATATTTTTAGCCCACACTGATGTAAACGGTTGCATGGTGCATTTCAGCATAATTTATTTATTGAAAATGTGTATTGCACAGATTATAATATTATAAATATAGTATATAATAACGCTAACCATAATACTTGACCACGGCTACATAAATACAAATAAATGCCAAATTGCCGTTCGTGGACAACATAAAAGAGTTAATTGTAAAGTGTTCAAACGTTTGGAATTTTAAGCCGTATATAACCCTCTTAAAGATCCATCTATTTACACTGTAGCCCAACATCAAAGACTTGAATTATAAAATTAAAAAAAAAACACAATTGCGCAGTGTGCCGGTTCTTGCAAGTTTCAACGCGTTGAATCTCCACGCTTGCAAGAACCAGCACACTAGCATTTATATAGCAATCACGAATAGAAATATTAATATGAATGCAATTAAGCAAAAGCTTGAAGTAAATAAGTACATTCAGTGAAGTATATTCATGGTAAGTTTTGAGGGAGATGGTATGACGTATCGAAATGTTAGGAAAAATAGACATTTAAAAACATTACCTTAAAAATAAACGGCCTTCCTAGTACAAAGAACTCTAGCGGTGAGAAACAAACTTCATTCTCATGAATCAGATGAAAAAATATATAAAGCTCGTTTTCCAACCATCCAGCAAAAGAAGGTATGTTATACATAATCCGATTTAATAACATCTTAGTGACGTCCATCTGCATACAGAGAAAAGTTGAGTATGAGTACAGCATCGCCGTGTAGAGGCGGTGTAAGAATATTCATTACCCGTAGCATCATTTGGGTGTTGTATGGTGACACAGTGAAACAGAACAGAACATGGACAGAAGCATCTTCCTGAGAACAACTGTAATAAATTACCTGCAACGTGTGACGACTATGGAAAATATTCCTCTTATAAGACAATTTGGGCAAGATGATGATGACAGATAGCGTACTATAAGGTAGCTGTGTTTACGTGACTCAATTATCCATATTGTATAAAAGAAGTTAATAACACTAACAACGATTTCTCTCGAAGATATATAATATAGAGATAATTAAAAATATATTCATTAATAGATAATTTAAAAGCTTCCCTAACATTATAATGAGGCTCCGTATATAATCGCCGGAAATAGTAAAATAGCCACGTGGTGAAATCATAAATAAAGGCCAAATGAGAATGCTTAAGGTCGCCCAACGAGCTATGGAGAGGGCTACGCTCGGGGTTTCTCTGCGTAATGAACTACAAACGAGGATGGAGGCCTATGCTTAGCGGTGGACGTGTGAAGGGCTATGATAATGATAATGAAGACGAAGTTAGAAAAATAGGTCTAGGTGTAAAACGTACGCCGATACAGCAGTGGACTTGTATAGGGCTGTGGTGATGATGAGGTTAGAAAAATAAGACAAGGTGTGGAAAGTACCACGATAACCACGTACAAGACAAAGTAGAACTTAAACTTAAGCCGGACTTCAGCCAGAATAGAATAAAAATAAAACTTTCTGAATTACGGTGACATGGAACTTCTAAGTAAATATCATAAGTTGTCTAGAGTTATAATCATTAACTCAACGGATCAGTGTAGCAAAATTTCACCTTGAAATTTGAGAGATCTGAATCAGCATTCGTAAAGGATTGATGCTTAAAAATATATTTTCAATACGCTTGCAAATAATTTTAAAAGGTGCAATGAAACGTTCTAATGATAATAAATTTACCTCGGTGCATATCCATTGGCACGGTTCGATCAGCAATACTATAGATGCTAAATTAAAAGCTGTCCTAGTCACGTGCAGGAGAATGTCTGAATACAAAAACCATTTAAGTCACAAAAAATAAGTTGGGAGAGTAAGTAAGAATATAATAATTTTTATTTAATATAGTTTACAAGAATACTTATGAAAATCATTTATACTTTTACCACTTGTGCGGAAAAAACCTGGTATTAACAAGAAACCCAGGGGACTTTTTTAAACATTAATTTACAATATAATAAGCTGTACAATAAAATATGAAAACATTTAGAAAAAGCATGGTAGCATTCTCTTTTCCAAGGGTTGATAAGTATATAATTGGTAACAATCATGAAGTCTTCGGTAGCATAAAAGTTAAACAAGTTTGTGCTTAATAAAAAAATACATTTTTAGTAGTTCAGGTCATACATATTTTTGTGACTTTATTGTAAGAGTGTATACATTTTTTCATGAAGGAGTTATTGATTCCTTTGATTTGAGTGTATATATATATATATATATATATATATATATATATATATATAAAATAAAATCATTTACTGACACATTAAGGACAAAATATAAAAAAAAATCTACTTAAGACAAACGAATAAAAGACAAAGACAAACAAATAAAAGTTGCATTTTTAATAGTCTCATTCTCCTATTAAAAATGCAACTTTTATTTGTTTGTCTTAATCAGTTTACTGAATCGATTCCTATGATTTTTAATATATGTAATTTTTTATCCCAAAAATAATTAAAACTGCGTAAAATACAGTCACACTAAATCTGTACATTCATTCATTCATTCATTACGGCCATTCACAAGTACACTGCTGAACATAGGCCTCCCCCAAGTAATGCCACAAAGCACGGTCCTGAGCCACCTGCATCCATCGACTTCCTGTATATCTTACCAGGTCGTCACTCCATCTAGTAGGGGGTCGCCCTACACTACGCCTACCGGTACGAGGTTGCCAATCGAGAACCTTTCTTTCCCATCGGTTATCGGTTCTTCGAGCTATATGGCCGGCCCATTGCCACTTCAGCTTACTAATCCTTTGGGCTATGTCGGTCTCTGGTTTTACTGCGGATATCCTCATTTCTGAGTCTATCACGCAGAGAAACTCCGAGCATAGCCCTCTCCATAGCTCGCTGAGTGACCTTGAGCGTCCTCATACGGCCAGCAGTGAAGGACCACGTCTCTGATCCGTAAGTCATCACTGGCAACACGCACTGGTTGTACACTTTAGTTTTCAGAGATTGAGGTATACCTGACGAGAAGATGTGTCGTAATTTCCCGAACGCTGCCCAGCCGAGTTGAATCCGTCGATTGACCTCTCGGTCGAAGTTGGACTTACCTAGTCGGACTATTTGTCCCAGGTAAACGTACTCGTCAACAACTTCCAGCATAGTGCTCCCAACAACTACCGGCATAGGTGTGACATGGACATTAAACATGATCTTTGTTTTGTCCATGTTCATCTTAAGACCTATCCGTTGGGAGGCACTATTGAGGTCATCGAGCATAGTGCTTAAGTCCTCTAGCGATTCTGCCATAAGGACTATATCGTCGGCAAATCGAAGGTGAGTGATGTACTCGCCATTGATGTTAATACCGTATCCTTTCCAGTCCAGTAGCTTGAAAACGTCTTCCAAAGCAGCGGTGAAGAGTTTCGGGGATATAACGTCACCCTGTCTTACACCTCTCTGCAGTTGGATAGGTTTCGAGCTCTGGTTCTGTACTCGGATAGCCATCGTAGCCCTACTGTACAAACACTTCAGCACTTCGATATACCGACAGTCAACTTGGCACCGCTGAAGGGACTGCAGCACCGCCCAAATTTCGACGGAATCAAAGGCTTTCTCATAGTTCACATACGCCAGGCAAAGTGGCAAATTGTACTCTTGAGTCTTCAGTACAATCTGCCGCAGGGTACGTATGTGGTATATGGTACTGAAGCCTTTTCGGAAACCGGCTTGTTCGGGAGGCTGGAAGTCGTCGAGTCTGCGTGCAAGACGATTCGTAATGACTCTCGAAAACAGCACGTAGACGCGGCTCAGAAGGGAAATCGGTCTGTAGTTCTTCAAGAGAGCGTTGTCGCTTTTCTTAAAGAACAAGACCACCGCACTTCTGCTCCACGCCTCTGGAGTAGTGCCACCATGGAGGACGGAGTTGAAGAGCTTCTGAAGGACTTCAAGTACCGGTGTTCCACCCGCTTTCAGAAGCTCCGCTGTAATTCCATCCTCGCCTGGGGCCCTGCCGTTTTTAAGGTGCTGGAAAGCCATTCTAATCTCGCTTAGACTGACGTCCGGGATATCATCGGAATAGTGTCGGATAAGACTTGCTCTTGGATCGTTACTCACACTTGCGTGTGGCTCCAACGATGATGTGTACAGCTGCACATAGAACAAAATCTCAGGTGTCCCGGAAACGATGCTGCCACAATCTGTACAGTCAAAACAAATTAAAATGGACCGTAACTAAAGGCAATAAGACTTTTAAGAGCGCAGTTTTATTTGTATTATTACTAATTCTGTCATTCAATAAAAATAAAGAAATATGTACTTTATTTCAACAAGTTAGTCTTTGCGTTCGTGGATTTGTAATGTGACCACAACATTCTTCCGGAATTAGTATAACTAATTTGAGAAATAATCAGTGCATAATTTTTAAAAATTCAGTGAATGTAATATGATTATAACATAATATACTAATTGGGGTGTCTGAGGGTCGCGTAATAACGTTACATATTATATATATATATTATATAAAGAGGAAGTTTCCAGTAACGTTGACATGAACTTTTTTATCATCAGTGTTACTACGAGTCAAAAATATTTTTTTGCGAAAAACATTACACATTACTTGTTCTTCTTTCTATCTACTCGTTGTAGAGGGCATCTCCCCTTTCCTTATTGGTACGAAGTGGCTACTTGAACACCTCGCTTCACCATAGGTTGTCAGTACTTCGAGCTTTATGGCCAGCCCATTTCCATTTTAGCTGATTTAGGTCGGTTAATCTGGTGCTACTGCGGATATCGTCATTTCCAAGTAACTGATTTATTGTGTAAAATATAAATGTATGCCGTTCTTATTTTAAAAAATGTCCCGCTGGGTTTCTTGCTGGTTCTTATCAGGATATTCATTGGTATTTTCCAAATCAGTGGTAAATTAAATATAAGAACGACTCTCAATTTAAATAATACTTATATTATTTACAATGTATATTGAATTAAAAAAAGCTATTTCTATTGTTTAATAAATAATAATTATACCTTACCTAAAGAAATATTTTCTTTATCAGTGAAGTCTATAATTAGTGAAAAACTGGACAATTCGAAATACATCGCGGATACAAGGAGAGTGATTATTAAAAATATTCCGTTTTCACTATTTAATTTTCTTATCTGATCACTTAAAGATATGGACAACATAGCTAGATGACGTAACGTTTTTGGGGCGAAGCGCATTGCAATATTTACATTTGTGTTTGCTGAAATAAGATATAAGGGTGTAGGCTTTAATACTATTATACCATTACCAATTTATATATTGAGACCAGCATGTGTTTACGTGGTAGGACCACGTTGCAGCTATATAATCGCTGCAGCAGGAATGGGTGGGCTTGACTGGGGTAGGGACACGCTCTCACAGAATACCGGCATCGTGAAATAAATAACATGGCTGTGTTTCGCATGGTGAGTGTAGAGAACAGGAGACGCTTATTACTGAAAACGGGATGTTATTTCATTTTAGGCCAGGGGTTACAATGCATCTGTATTTTGATTCATAATCGAGGATAGATGTAGATGTTTATGGACTTTATCATCTACTTACTATCAAGTGGACTGTGTGCTCACTTATCAACCTAATTCTATTTTTTTTTAAATTAACCGAAATAACAAGAAACACGGCGTTTTACGTTAGCGATCTCCACATGAATACGGCGCATCGAAGTGGCCCGACAGGTATCACCGCAGATAATATTCTTGTAGGTATCTCGGATGGACGGTAGGATTTTTAATGAATGACTCGCACCCAAAACCTTAACTAGGGCTGTAAATGCTATGTACGTAACCGGTATCATAGTATAGAGTATATATATAGAGTAATACCGGTTACGTATAAAAATACTTAATATTTAATTACGTTTAAATATTCGACTGAGTATGTAGTATGAGTATACCCTCTTATATATGGCGGCACCATTGTCGTGCCACAAACGAAACGATCACGCTATCGAAGTTTCGAAGTACTACGGTATATATAGTTTAGCTCTATACATGGAGTATTGACCGCCCAACGGGTTGAACGTTTTGCCCAGCGGGAGATCTCCACTTTTTTTCTACGGGCAATCATCTATATTTGAAATAAATAAGAGGGTTATACATATTATTGCATAAAAAAGACGGAGCGTTGCGTACATTTCAAGTGACACTGAAACCAAGCCAAAACCATGCTCAACTTATTGTAAAAATACGCAGTCACTGACACATATGCATCTCAAATCCAAAAATATTTGAAACCAACAATTTATTTCAGGTACACATGTGTACGCCCAGCTGTGATATTATAAGAACTGTTAAAGAAACAAAGAAAAAACTCATGTGTGTGAGCGCGTGCCATGAAGTTGAGCATGGTTTCGGAGAGATTTGATATTAAAATAAAGATTGTAAAAAAAATTGTACTTTGCTTCATTTCGATAGAAAGAATCCTCAGCTGCTGGTTCATCATTTGTAGAAGTATGTGTACCTCAAGAACGACAAAGATGAACAACATATTTAACGAATGCATGGTTAAGTAGCCGAAACAAAACAACATAACCCTTATAATCTCCTTAACGGCATTGCCTAAAACATAAAATATTAAACTTTATTCATTATCCCTTTTAATTATTTTTAACTATCTGATGATGTAAACCAGTTGTGTATATAACCCAGTTTAATTTTAATAATTTTAAGTTTTATAAGAGTTTGATATGAATCTGTTAACCTAATTTTCAGTGGGTAGGAGCAACATTTCAATTGTATTGGTTCTGAATTCTGATGAGTTCAAAACCCGCCCACATAGCATGGTAAATCTAGGCAAGATTTTTAAAATACTTAGAAATGCCAATATCTACGGGTAGCCGCAGATTAAAATGAACAACGCTGAATTAAAAATTAGAATAAGCAATAAATAAAGAAGAATGTGCGTGTTACGAAGCTCAGCGTGGGGCTTAGCTTCGTGACACGCACATTCTTCTTTATTTATTATTATGCAATAACAAATTATTTAAATGACAAGTTACTTGCTTAGAATGAAATTAAAGAGACTTTTTAAATACTCTACGTCAAATACAGTATGAACATGGCGCTATTAATATGTAATAAGTAAAAAAATATTTTGTAACCTACGTGTAGGTCCCACAATAAATGTATTTGATTTGTATTTAACGTAAAATTCCACTGCTGGATGCACACATATGCACCTAAATCAATGTTGTTGGTTGCAAATTAGTCTGCAAACGTGTGCGCGTCAGTACATGCTGTATTCGAATTGCATCTGCAATTCCCTGGTGATGAAGATGTTCATAGGCAGTGGTACTAACTTCCCGCCAGATGAGCTGCATGCTCTTAAAAAATGCATTTGGTATGATTTCAATAACACCCAATGATATAACAGGTGATTAAAAATTATCATCCGGCATAGTAAAATACAATAAATACCATATTAGTCTTCCGTTTTATCTTTAATTAGTTTTATTTTATGCAATGTTCATACTTACTTGTTAATTTCGTCGATAATCCCGTTTGAAATACAATCCAAAGCTCGAATGTTAATAAAGACACAAGAATTACCAGAAACAATTTTAGCAAATTAACTTTTCTTCTTTCAATTTCTTTTAGTTTATACCCATCGTTGAGACTCTTTAAAGTTAACTGAAAATCAAATAGAATTTATTATATTTTATTATAGAATAAGGGTGACAAACGAGCACACAGCTCCAATGATGATAAGTGGTTGCTGTGGCCCATATACAACTACATGTGTATGTTCCCAACCAAGAATCAAAATTCAGATGCTTTATCACACCTGATTAGTAGGACGGTATGCCTCATTTCCAGAAAAAAGGATCTCCAGTTCTCTACACTCACCATACGAAACACAGCGGCATAAGTTTCTATTTCACGCCGCAATAAATGGGCAGTAGCGTCTTACTGTTAACAACTCAAAATCATAATAAAACTTTATTTGCCACCCACCTGCTATTATGGCGAAATATCCCTACGAGGCAATTTATGGGGGATCATGCAGATCATATTAATTATCCATCGTATTAATTATGAGTTATTAAGTAACGCTATGGTTTGGGCGATATGGGGTAGTGTATATTCTACACCGCTACTACACGGTCAATAATATTCGTATACATAATATACAGGGTTATGGAAGGTCGTTGCAAAGCCTTAAGAGAGGACAGGTCATCTCTCGGAGCACATTTTTGGGCAGATTACTCTAACCTTATGTCTTAGATTTTTAAGTTATAGTGAGAATTATGTTTTTTATCAAATATCCCGAAACTTGTTCGTAATTCGTTCATAATGAATAAACCGGCTATAATTGTTTAAACACAAAAAATTGTTTTTATTTTAGCTTGTTTGTTCAATCGACAAACACATCCGTTTAATTGCACAGGAGTACAATGTTTGGACAATGGAGACCTGTTCGGAGAGTACAATTTTGTCGATTTTGTTAAACGGTGACATCGAAATATTCGGGATAATTGAAAATTGTTTTGGAACAAATAAGATTCTTTCCAAAGAAAATGTTAATAATTTTCAATAAAGGTGTGATTGGCTGCTATTTAATCGAACCTAATTTTCTCTCGGAAACTCAAAATGGAAACAACCACTTTGAGCAGAAACTTTTAGTACTTGCAAATGATTTGCACAACCTACTGTAGAGAGTGCAAAAAAGAATGCTGGCCAGCGCACTACCGTGTTAAAGTCAGGGAACATCTAGTTTATCATTTTCCTAATAGTTAGATTGTAAGATAGGGCCGGTGCCCTGGCCATGTTGATCGTCAGATATACCCCCCTATGGATTTTCATATCTAGGGTCGAACCAAAGAGTTGGTTTACACTAAAGAAATAACTACTTGGGCACATTTAATAGAAATGATTAATGAAGCATTGAAAAAAATTAAAAGACGGATGTTGTTATAAAATATAACCATTGTAGTCTGAAATAGGACCCGAAAATATATTAGGAACCAAGTTTCACACTTTAATTTAATTTTTTTAAGATTTTTTTATAAACGCGTTGAGAAAGTTACTTTAACCCTCTAAAAAGTTTCTAACTCATCAGCATCTCCAATTTAGTCAATGATGTGGATACAGTTGAATGTATTACTGTTTGTCAGTTGAACAAACATTAATACCTTCAAAAACCAAGGTTTTACTATAGCCGGTTTAATCGTTATGAACGATTAAATACCAAATTTTGGGATACTTACCAAAAATCAAAATTTTCACGTATATATATATAATATACTAAGGTATTAGATTAGGGTAACTTGCTTATAAAATCTGTTCCACGAGATGACCTCCACCCCTAAAGGTTTTGCATCGATCTTCCAAACACTCTCTGTATTATGCATATTACTGTTACGAGCTTAGGCAATTAAATTTATATTGATTAGCAGTAATAACTGAATTACCAAAATTGACACTTTAATTACCGAACACCAATTAAAACTTAAAACATACATACATATAATCACGCCTCTTTCCCGTAGGGGTAGGCAGAGACCACTTCTTTCCACTTGCTACGATCCTTACATACTTGTTTCGCTTCGCCTACTTTCATTATTCCCTTCATACATGCTCTACGGTTTAGGGTACTCTTAACCTGGCCTTTTTTCAAGACGTCCCTAATTTGGTCTAGAAAAGTCCGCCTAGGTCTACCCCTTCCAGCACTTCCATTCACACTCGCCTTATACACTTTTTTCGTCAATCGTTCTTCATTCATTCTCTCGATGTGGCCAAACCATCTCAGCATACCTTTCTCAATTTTTGTCACTACATCTTCTTTCAGACCACAACGTTTCCTTATCTCACTATTTCTTATCCTGTCACTCAGTTTAACTCCTATCATACTTCTTAATGCTCTCATATCAACTGCATTTACTCTACTTTCATGTTTCTTCTGCCATACCCAACTTTCACTTCCGTACATGAGTGTCGGAACCCACACGCCCTCATGCACAGCCAAACGTGCCTTGTTAGACACTTTCTGACTGCTCATAAAGGAGTGTAAAGCTCCATTTACCATGTTTCCTGTATTAACTCTTCTTTCGATATCACTCTCACACTTTCCATCTCTTGTAAACTTTGACCCCAGATACACAAACTCTTTCACCTGTTCAATTTGTTCATCTTCAATCACGATATTGCAGTCTGTCACTGCCTCATCTTTTTCAAACACCATCACTTTCGTCTTCTTTACATTCATCTTCATTCCCTTTCTAACAAAAGCTCCACTCATAGCAGTTACCATCTCCTGCAACTCCTCGGCCGAAGACGCAAGTAATACTTGGTCATCAGCATAGAGAAAACATTTGACGAGTAACTCATTCATTCTCAACCCACTTTCATTCTCTTTTAAATTTGTCATACAATTGTCCATGAACAGATTAAAATGCCACGGTGACGCTACACATCCCTGTCTAACACCTTTTTCGATATTAAACCATTCAGTGTATGCCCCGTTTATCCTTACACAAGCACTAGAATCCCTATAAAGAGATTGCAATGCTCGTATGAGGACACTGCTCACACCGTTCATGGACAGTGCTGACCACAATTCATTCCTCACCACTCTATCATAGGCCTTTTCTAGATCTACGAAGGCGCAGTAGACTTTCTTGTTTTTAGCCAAACACTTTTCGGCTATGCACCGCAAGGAAAAGACCTGATCCGTACATCCCATTCCCTTTCTAAATCCCGCTTGTGCATCCCATATATTCTCGTCTGTTTCATTCACAACCCTTTCAATCAACACTTTCGCATACAATTTACCGACGACGCTAAGAAGGCTTATACCACGGTAATTTATGCAGTCCTGCCGTGACCCTTTTCCCTTATACAATGGCACGATTACGGCTTTGCACCAGTCTCCCGGCACTTGCCCATTTCGCCAGCACAGATTGAAAAGGCGGTACAGCTGACTAGCCACCAGGCCCTGTCCAGCCCTCAGCATCTCGACGGTAATCCTGTCATACCCTGCAGCCTTACCTAATCTCATACTTTTCAACGCTTTCACTATTTCATCCATGCTTATCTCATTTTCATCAACATTTATATTCGTTTCCGTGGAAGGTGGCAGATGCTGTACCTGCACTTCCTCTCTTTCAAACAGACTTTCAAAATACTCTTTCCATCTCTTTAACACACATTCTTCTCCTTTTATAATGCTCCCATCTTGACTCCTGATTGTACTCAGCTCCGAGGTAGAAGTTTTTCCTCTGGCTGTTTTAATGGTTTTCCAGAAAAACTTAATGTTTGACTGGAAATCTTCAGTGAGCCTCCTATCGAAATCATCTTTTCGTTCTTCTTTCTTTCTAGACACAGTTTCTTTCGCTGCTGTTTTCAATCTTTTATACTTCGTTCTTGCTTCCTTTATCTCGTCATCCGTTGCCTTTTGAACTTTTTGGTTAGCTTTTGTTGCTAACCAATCCAACCACGCTTTCTTCTTTTCTTGCACAACCTTTTGTACATCTTTATCCATCCACACGTTATCATTCTTTCTCCCTTTCCTTCTTTTAGCTACCCCGCATACCTCAATCGCAACATTTACAACCCCTTTCTTAAATGTCTTCCACAAATCTTCAATCACTCCTATCTCTTCTATCCCTTTAAAACTTTCTTTCAGTTTCTCTACATATTCGTCTTTCTTTTACAACTTAAAACACACAAATAATTAAACACACTTAACACTTTAGTTCACTTTATTTTGTTCTTAAGTCTTCGCTCGTATCGTCGATTTAATACTGCCCCAGACGCGCTTCTTACGGACTTTATATGGGATATTTTCCACCGAAAACATCTAGAATGTTCGAGTAGGATATTGAAAGTTCTAGCAAAGAATCCTCCAGAAAGCCCTCACCACTCGTAACTGGATGGTGCTAGTGGAAGAGTTCTAGAAAGATCTTGACGCTCCTATTTCTGCTACTTGATACTAGATAGCGCTAGTAACCACCCTTCATATATCGGGCATCAATTATGGCGCGCAACACTGCTCCCTCCTAAGACATACTCGTCCCGAGCATTATCAGCCCCATAATAACGCGCCACTCGATCCACATAGACTATCTTAGGAGTACCTCTTGCACGTTTTTGTATCCGGTAGGTTACGTTATTGATCCTTGTCACAATCTGGTACGGGTCGTCCCATTTAACTGGATTTTGTAGGCCAACCATGAACAAGTCCCATCGAACGGCGCCAAATTGAATCCACGTAGCGTAGGTGTTTTAGCTACTAAGGGAGCTGTAATTCCATCTCCAAGTTTGAGTTCGTCCAGCGTTTTCTTCACTTGGTTGATTTGGGTTCCAGCTTCCGACAGGCAGTTGTCTTGTTGAGCAACCTTATCCTTCACCTTCCTTATCTCTTTCCCGAAGATACCATGAAGGTCCTTCATGAGGAGCATCTGCTCTTCCTTATTACGTTTGAGCTGCTCTTCCAAACAACGGGCCTGTTCATCCTGTCAACGGGCCTGTTCCTCCTGTTCGTGGGTGTGCCCCTGAAGCATCACCGTCAGAGCACCTAAGTCAAGTGCTGCAGATGGAGGAGCTACTGACGGGAGGGCCTCCGTGGCTGGCGGCTGGCCCTTCGATGACTGCGGCGTTGCACCCCCAAATCGTCACTGATCCGTCTCCTGTTGGCGTTGACTTCGGGTACGGACACCCTCCGTTTCGTCTTTAAGTAAAATCGGCATGATTTATCCCACTTCCGACACCAATTGTTACGAGCTTTTTTGATACTTTAATTACTGAACACCAAATAAAACTTAAAACACACTAATAATTAATCACACTTAGCCCCACTTTATTTCACTCGTAAATCTTCGCTCGTATCGCCAATTAGATACTGCCCCGGTCGCGTTCGCGCGAAAGTTCTAGCAAAGAATCCTTCAGAAAACCCTCGCCACTCGATACTAGAGAGCGCTAGTGGTAGAGTTCTAGAAATATCTTGACGCTCCTATTTCTGCTACTTGATACTAGATAGAGCTAATAATCACCCGCCACAGACTAGGCATTAATTATGGCGCGCAACATTACTTCGTTTAAATAAAAATTGTTATATCGATGTTGTTTATTGTTGTAAAAATCATTCAATCCAGCCCTAAATTAAAACTGATGATGATAGTTGCTGAGGTTATTGCTGCAAGTTTAATGGTTGAAGTGACACTTATACGTCTAAATAATATATTTCATACCTCAGTTTTAAAACAATGTTATATCATTTCTTCGTAACGATAGAGAACAAAATATTAATTTTTTTTGCTGATATTATAATATTAATGCTGAAGCTCTGTGAACCTACTATTATCATAGAATATTTTTATGAAAATTCTTGAATTCAGTTATTAAGCCTTTCATTCACACATTACAAAGACATTTGCTCAGTGAAAATATATAACGTTTAATTACATACACTTTCAAACACTTTTTGTGCGCTGTTTAAATTTTCAATAAGTTCTTTCATCCGCCGCGGGCCTCTGAAAGTTAACCATGTCCCCAAGATTAAAGTGATTCCGATAGATGTTGAAAAGGCTGTGTTCACTGGCATCTTGTTTAAAACATCTTCTACTTCATTTCCTAACATAAAAAGATTCCACATTACGTACGCTGAGCTGCAAAAAACTGGAAATAAAATACAAGAAAATGAAATAATGCAATCCTAGTATCATTACACATTATAAAAGTTCATCACAACCGTTTCATCCCGTGGGTGTCGTAAGGGACGACTATGAAAATGAAAGATTGTTTTTATATAAAATTATAGCAACAAATTAACTTACGATATGTACCCCCTAGATCTATATATATATATATATATATATATATATATATATATATATATATATATATATATATAATAAGGAATGCTAAAGATGCGTTGTCACTTTTGAGGACTAAGATTGAATGCCTCACAGCCGACGACCAATAGTTATTAAACAGGCACTTTATCGTCTTGAGATCGGAAATGTAATTTATAAAGGTATTGCTAGTGCTATATTGGTATTGCTGCTATTTATATAAGTGGACTTATAGCTCATCTATTACTAAAATATTATATAAATTGACTATTTAGAACTGTCAATAAATGGGCGGTGTTTCACCCCCTTGCCTGGGAATGCACGTTAGGCGTTAGTTCTACGCCTGATCTCTCTTCTTTCGTGTCGAATTGCATTCTTATATGACCATGAGTTTATGGGGATAGAGCGTGCACCTGTGATTGCGTATGTGTCATGCGCTATAATTCTATGCCGTGCAGATGGCTAATCGCGATTGAAATTGCCGCCGTGTCTGAAATTTAAGCTGGGGGACACCGGAGATTTTGCAACTTTTCGACTGAAGTAAAATACAAACCTGTCTTTGAACAATAAAATTTACAACCTTACCTACCATTGCCATAAAAAGAGGACATCTACCGCTGGGTATGGTGATCAGTCAGGGAAGCTGTCCAGGTAGGCAGTGCTGATCCTATTTGTATAATTACGATTGTTCGAAAACTTGTCTAGCTTTCTGTAAGTGGTAGAACTTCGCTGCAGCTATTATGGTTGTAGCATGAATGGGTCAGCTCGACTGGGGTAGGGCCACGCTCTCACAGAATACCAGCGTAAAATAGCAGCTTAATGCTGCTGTGTTTCTTATGGGAGTGTACAGAACCGGAGACCCATTTAACTGGAAATTCATCCATTCCATCTTAGACCTCAAGGGTGACAACACACCTGCATTTTGATTCTTCATCTAGGTTAAATGTAGATGTCTCTGGGCCAGTGCATCCACTTACCATTAGGTGGACTGTGTGCTCGTGTGTCTCTAAAAAAAAGCATGTTCTAGGTTTTAATAATTTATTCGTTTAACTGTTTATGTTGCACATCACACCACAAAATATAAAATTACAACACGGTATAGGGATACTTTTAATATAACTTTGACCGATTATAAGTACGGCCACTTCAAAATTTTAATATTTTAAATTTTTTATCACTTTTTTGAGATTAATACCAAACTTAAATTAAATTGTTGCGTGGATTGTAAAAATTGGCTGCGAATTTTGTATTAAGAGTACTTTTTTTTGTTGACAACCGCTATTTAAAAACATCTTTTTTATAATATTTTAAATTTTTTGTCATTTTTTTGAGATTGATACCAAACTTAAATTAAATAGTTGCGTTGATTGTAAAAATTGACTGCGAATGTTGTATTAAGAGTACTATTTTTGTTGACAACCGCTATTTAAAAACATTCTTATATTCTACTTGAATTGATTTTGATAATTTGACATGGGCTTGTGACCAAATTGATAGGAGGAGATTGAATGAAGCTAACCTTCATACTCGTAGATCACTTCGGTTTCCAGCACTAAGAAGAGGAAATCGTGGACGAACATGCGAACTTAGAACCACATCAATAGTCGTTGGTGCTTTTCACCAATGAATCCCAATTTTAAGAGAACGTCCGGACCGTGAACTCAAAAAGGTCATGGGTTCGAATCCGCCCTTCGACTACTGTCGTGAACCACTCGTAATACAAGCAATTTAAGCTTACCACGAGTGGTTAAGGGTGATATTAGCAATGTTTATAGCATTGTTTTTAATTGGTTTTCATAATGATTCCTGGAGAGTACATGTTTGAAAAGTTCCTGGTCGTATAACTCGACTTCAATACTCTCAAAAAGTTCATCCAAACAATGTTTGTACAATTACGGTAAGTGCAAGAATTTATTTTGGTGGAAGAACGGACCTATTTGGATACAGGGCACTACGATGTTTGAAAAGTACCTTAATGAGATGCTTGAACCCTTAATCTTGCCACATTGAATAAAAATGGGTCAAATGTTTTTGCTGATACACGACAATGCCCGTTCATATATGGCCACAGTGGTGACAGCCTGGTTGCCCGAACATGATGTCACGTCCCTAAAATGGCCAGCGCAATCCCCAGATTTAAATCCCATTGAGCATGCTTGGAATAAGCTCCAAAAATAAGAGCTCTGAAGGATTTTCCTGAAAATCTGGTCACAGAATAATAAGGTTTTATGCACCTTGGTAGGGCCTAGGATAAAATTCTTTAACAGGATATTGATAAACTCATTCTAAGTCGAACCGATACAGATGCGTTACGAATGTCAGGTTGCTTTTACTGATCATTAACTCTTAATTTATAGCCGCCCTTAAAATGGTTTTTACATTACTTTATTTTTTAATTTAAATTAATTTTTTTCTCTGCATATAAATTTGAAATCCAATTTAAAGTCAATGTTTATGTAAAAATGGTAGATTAATTAAATAAAATTTTCTTGCATACATCTTATTATCCTTTCATGGAAATAAAGTTTCCTAGAAAAGTTTCTCTTTCATGGAAGTAAAATTATTTTTAATTGGCACTTACATATACAACTATGTAGTATACGTCCATATATATCAAATACAAAAGAATAGTAGGCGATAAAAGTGTTGGAGGGAGACTTCAGTCGCAACGGTGCCATGCCAAAGATGCGTGAGAATTGTATAACAAGCGCTAACGATTCGTGCACTTCAACACTATGCTGCGACATACTGTTTTTTATATATTTATCTGCAATAAAATTAATACTTATGATTTAATTTAAATTATCCAATTTTTGCTAGTCTTTGTTGAACAAAGTATTACTTAATAACTATATAAATAAATATAATTGAAGTGTCTGTTTGTAATGTTAAAATAACAGCTTTTCACTAAATGCATATGAACGTACATACACGGTATTTATAACAAAAAAGCAAGTTTTAAAATTTTTGACTGCCTATCTGCCTGTCTGTTTGTTTCAGCTAATCTCTGAAATAGCCAGACCGACTTCGACTTTCACTGGCAGATAACTGATGATATAAAGAGTAATTTAGGTATTTTAGAAAAAGAATTAGTAATAAATATAATTAGTAATAAATACCACGCGGGTGAAGTGGTGCGGGACAGCTAGTTAAACATAAATAGCGAAGCGTAATTAGCATAGCGTATTTTTATATTACTACTGCATATTAAATGAAAATTTTACGCAATTTATTGCGTATATTTTAACTTCTCTGAAAACTTCCTTCACCCATATAATTAAAAGCTAAATTAAGTGCTTTTTTACCACGTTCTTGACGATGAAAGGAATCACCATGAGGAAACAGGCACTGGACCAGCGCGATGGACCTATTGCTCCATAACCCTTTTAGAAATATGAAGAGACTACAACTCCAACATTGTGAAATATAATTAAGCAGTTACTTAAACAGGAAGAAAACCTTTTGACCACTGATTAAAATATTGGTTACAAAAACACTAATGTCATTTTATAATCAACAAATTTTCTCAAAATAAAATTTAACTTACATTGTATCTAAATGCATAGTGAATTAAGACCGTACGAAATACAAAAAGCAAAACATTAAAAGTAGATAGCTTTATAAGATAGCGTCGTTATTTTTATTTGTTTTACCTTGAAATTTATTTATTTGTCTCTAGCTTTTCCGGCAAACGACGCGTAATTATATTGTGGACAAAAGCTATGTAATAACTACTAACAAATACATTTGATTCTATCTTTAAAAGACTTTTGTAAATAATTCAACGCTACATTGTAAACAAAACTTAACGTACTCAATACTTCACAGCTCACGAAACAATGAAATATTTATTCAATTTTTAAATTGTTTTCTTTAAATTCAATACAGCAGCAGTATAATTTCCTCCACCCTGTATTTTAGCACGACTTCTAGTCTAGAGACTAAAAATCTATACAGAACAAGAATATAGGACACGAATGTATGCGTAAGCACAGATCCATTCACTATTCCCTCACTCTCATTGTTCAAAAGAACGGAATTCTGATACGACCGGAGAGAGATAAGCACAGGACAAATGACTTATCGTACTTTCCGAAGCACGGCGATGGAATACCGCGATCATTCTGATTCCAGGATGCTGCTGAGGATCCTGATATCAGAACACGACGCTGAATTCTAATGCAATACACTATTAGACATAATATGCCAGTACCCAATTTAAATGTTTTCGTGTACATGAAAGATTTTATAATATCTATATTTAATATTGTTTCTTAATTTTAAGGTAATTGTTTATAAATATTTACAATACGTACACCATAGTGTAATGTATATTCATTTACATAGAATTACCAATTTGTTATTGAATTCAAAACAAACAATATATTAAAAAATCGATATCAAAAAGACTGGTGATGAGTAACAGTATATAAGCTTCCAAATGCCAACATCACTTCTACACAGTGCACTCCAATGATTAATGGATGAGGCTCTAGTGCTCAATTGGTGGTGAAAATCCAAACCAAATCACTGTAACCCAAGTTCCATAGTCTAGAAATGGGCTTACGTTTAATTTTCGTATATATGGCACCCTACCAAAATTTACGGCTAGAGTAAAAACTGTGAAATCCACGGGGCTCTGTTCTTTCCCAGTGTGTAACACACAATGATACAACATAATGATACGTCTTAAATGTTTCTAACACTTAGTGTTAGAAATTATATTCACTTTTATTTTGTTGTCATTTAA